AAGAAGAAGAGGACCTCCAAGAAGGCTCACCTTCACGTAGAGACCACCACCTCCGACATTGGCGCCACCATCCCCAAGCACCCACTAGTTGCCAAGTAGCCACCAGTGATCAACTTGGTCGAGGAGGACCAAGGCAAAGCTACCCGCCCGAGGAGACCACATCTTCTGAGCCCCAGCACGCTCAAATGACTACTCCATCGAGTAGCGACACCTTTGCTCGAAGCATTTTGACTCTAAAGTTCAGTCTCCTCAAAAGCAAGGACGCATTCTTCATCGAGGAAGTTGCTCACTGGGCTGACTTACCAGTCGCTCAGCTCGGGGCCAGAGCGGCTACACATTGCATGGTGGTAAGTACTCAACCTTTGGGCTATATTACACTTAGATTTTGTTTCTTCTTTTGGCAGGTGAACTATTTGATCCATGCCTTAGCCTACCAGTCCAAGGTGAACCTGAAATGAGCTTTCAAGGCCGAGGAGTCCTCTCAAAGTGCCCACTCCGAACTGAACCTAGCTCGCAACGAAATCAACCAATTGAAAAATGATGCACGAGCTAAGAAGGAATTGCTGACTCTACTGATGGCGAAGAAAAAGGAGCGCGAGGCGACTCTTAAGAGAGAGAATGAGAACCTCGAGGTGTTGGTGAAGGAGTGGACTAATATTATCCTCCAGGCAATGGAAGAGGCCAAGGTCAAGGCCGTCGAGGAGTACAAGTCTTCGGCGGAAGATCGCGAGCTGCTAGTCAAGGCCAGGACAATGGTCTACCGCAAGGGTTTTAAATTTAGTAGATGGTTGACCCAGCATGAATTCCCCCATCTCGACCTCAGTGTCATCACAACATCAAAGATCACCAAGGAAATGGCCATCGAAACTGCTAAGGACTCGGACTCTGAGGAGGAGAACGACGATGACCTCCTCGGTGATGAGACAATAGAAGAGGGAGAGGGAGGTGGTGCCGCGAAGGACCATATGGAGACCGATCTGCCTGTCGATGCCTTTGTTGGGGATGAGGATCCCCGAGTTGATTAATGCCTCTTTTCTTGGACCCCTTGTAAATACTCAATGTCCCGAGCCTCCAAGATCGGTTATATAGTTGTAATCTTTCTGTTCTTTTTGTTGTTGTTTTTTTTTTGCTATGTACCCGAAATGCTTCATTAATGGAATACAACATTTGTAAAATTTCTTGTGTGCAAAAAAATTCTAAGTATAGATTACTCCCGAGCTGGTGAGCTAGACTCGAATAGGGATAATTCAGTGTCATTGTATGCCGGGGTGAACAGACACTATAGGGTACGTGCCCGACCTGTTTGTGCCCGGGCATCTTTGCCTTGCCCATGCCAAAACGACTAGGTTTTTTAGTTGCCCATGCCGAAGCGACTAGGTTTTTCAGTTGCCCATGCTGAAGCGACTAGGTCTTAATGAGCCCATGCCGAAGAGGCGACTAGGTCTTAGTGAGCCCATGCCAAAGAGGCGAATAGGATTTCTCTACCCATGCCGAAGAGGCGATTGGGTATTATATCGTGCTAACCTCTCTTTTCAGCTCGACACCATAGCCCTTAGACTTCTGGGAGTGACTTAAGGTCCTCTCTCCAGTTCGTCGTCCTTAGGATCAGCTCGGTGATCCTGTGACTTAGTCATTTTTTCAATTGCATTGGGGTTTCACAAATAGTATCTCCTTAGGTTGTCAACGTTCCAAGCTCGAGGTACCTGTTTTCCTTTCATGGTCTCGAGCTCATAGGTTCCTCCTCCAAACACTCGTCCCATCCGATATGGACCTTCCTAGTTCGGACCGAGTTTACCCACACCGAGCTCAGGTACCATTACCTTACAAAGGACTAGGTCGCCAACTCGGAATAGTCGCTTCCTGACCCAGGCGTTATAATACCGAGCTACTCACTGCTGGTAAGCCATAGTTCGAATGTGGGTCAGATCGTGTACCTCCTCGACAAGGTCCAAGTTAGTTCAGAGCTCGTTGTTGTTCGCCTCTTCGTCGTATGCTTCTAGCCGCAACGTCAGTACTTCCATCTCCGTCGGAATCACGACTTTCATCCCATACGTGAGGTTAAAGGGTGTTTTGTCGGTCGCGGTCTTGATGGTAGTCTAATAGGCCCAAAGGATGCTGGGCAGCTCGTCCACACAACCCTTTAGCTCGCACAAGGCGAGCTTTCAGTCCGCAAAGGATAGCCCTGTTCGTCACTTTGGTCTGTCCATTTGCTTGAAGGTGTGCTACCAAAGTGAAATTTTCTTGAATCCCCATCTTGGTGCACCAGTTCTGGAAGTGAGACTTGGGAAGTCTCCTCACCTCGGTGGTGAGATCGAGTGATGTTCTGCACCCGAGGTCAGTTTTGCTGAGTTGCTGGGTGCCGAGGTGGAACCGGTTGTTGGCTTTGCAGTAGTGGAGGGAACTACTGCTGGTAGTACTAGTAAAACACATGCTGCTGGTATTCCTGGAATTGTTGGACCTGTTGCATTTGGACCTGAATGGCCCGCACGCAGTGTACCAAGTTGTCAAATTGGGATTGCTCGACTCTGGGGGAACCACAGATGGTTCAACAAAGGTTACACCCACCATTGGAGGGAGCGGGGTGTGTAGCGTTTTGTGGCGCGGTCAGTGTTGGGACCCCAACCGCAGTAAGCGGTATGGTGAACTGACCAATGCACACTGATGGAAACTGAGGTTGCCCCCCAGAGACGTTCATTTCACTGCTTTGTCCGGCATGACTGGAAGAGGCCATTGATTTCAAATGAAAGCTGTTAATTGTGAAGAAGGCTTTTTGATCGTCTTCCCATAGACGATGCCAATTGATATTGCGCGATCTGACTGCTCCCTGTTGGAGGGTGATCTGGCTTCCAGTCGGACGGCGAGCTAAGTAAATATGCAGAACAAGATCAGAGAACCCGAGGTGGCTAGCCCGGCGAGGTCGCTCTGATGCTTAAGTTAGTAAGTTGTTGCGAGTTGAATAGCTTTGAGAATGTAGAGAGATAGAGAGCAGAGAAATCACGCGTACCTTGTGCCAACGGGGTTGGAGCCTTTATATAGTTAAGTTCTCGCGGGTCTTGTGGATTGATTTCGTAATCTCCGTCAAGATGGGATCTGTTTCCGCTTTAATTGGGAGATAATGCTATCAATTCCTCCCAAACCGGGCGGGGAGGAGATAAGGCTTGCCGTTATGCGGTGTGATCCCGTGAGGTTTGAGGTCTGTTAGAGAGATTTTCGGGATCGTCACGTAATGGTCTTGGTCGGTATCCCCGAATTGATACTTTTTAGTTCCAAACTGGACTGAATGTCGAAGTGCCTTGGAGCTAAGGTGGTTTTGCCCCCAAGGTGACCTTGTTCCGAGATGACCTTGTCCCAAAGTAACCTTGTGCCGAGGTGGTTGAGTGTCCGAACTCAACTATTGCGAAATAGGCATATCAGGCTGAGCTATCATCTCTTAGTCAGGTCGCGTCCACATATCCCCTTGGGTCAAATCACCCTTCATCACTAAACTATAAGAATAGTTTAAAAAATTTACCCAATACGAAAGATGTTCTCCTTGTGAGATAGGATATACTATGAGGTCGGTACGAGGAAACGAGGAATGTTTGAACTCCATAGCTATACCATCCATAAACCAAAAGCAATCTTATCAATTATCAAGGGCTTATTAATTATTAAGTGTTGCTTAAAAAGTCTAAAACTTTAAATCTTTCTTTCCCTTGGTGTAATTGTCAATATTCAATGATCACGTCGATGTGTACTTGTCCAAGTCAATGAGGAGGATTGGGTCAACTTGGGATAATAAACACTAGACACAGGTTCCCTTCACTTCAATTTTGGACGAATTGATTCAGTAAATTCTATTTATTTCATAATAAATTTTCCAACATCTTATAATATACTTATATTTATATTATCAATTTAATATAATAAAATAACTGGCCAAAATCTACAAAAAATTGCTTTACCAAGAAAAATTCAAAATAAAACTGCACCCAACTATTTTTCAAATTTGGCTTGGTCGACGCGTCTGAAATGAAACACAAGGTTGGTTGTTGGTAGAATTTCAGCAATATTTATTAAGAGCATTCCACGCGGAATAACAGGATTTGGGTAGCCATGGAGAAATGGTTGGGATAAGTTGACAGGCGTTGAGATGGTGACCACTCGGTAATCGCCACTCGGTGCATGACTCACCCCGTCCCCGTTGCCCCGTTGGGACGACGCCATACTCTTATCTTAATTCACAGGTGTCTGAGGACTTGATGACTTGGTCTGGTCACAAGTCACGACCTATTCAATAAAGAATCGCATTTGCTCACAAACTTGAGCGGAATAAGGATCCAAATATCCAATTTCCGTACCCGATTTACATAATTTTAAAAGGGCATCGCATCGGCATCTTTCGGTTAGTTTTTTAATGAGATAGCACGTGTTTAGACAAAATCAACAGGGTTAAAGAGGAACATCAAGGCGCCTATCACGTTCCAGCGGCCGGAAAGTGGACGGCAATAATTGACCTGACTTGCCAGCCTGACCAGGTCAGCAGGACTTCTCGGTCCGGGTCCACATTAACCCAAGGACTAACCGGGCCGGATTTAGGGCATCTCGTACGGGTTCACTGTCCTGTCGTGACTCGTGAGCATGCCAGGAAAAACTATTGAATGACAATGAATGACCGACAGACTCGTTAAGCAGTCTTTAATTTGGGCGAGTTGCTGCCATTGACGCGGCGGGTCAGTACTTTGATTGAATGATTCATACGGTTAGCCATGGCCACCTGATGGGTTGACTCGGAACGATTCCCGATTCAATTTGCTTGGATAAACTACCACCCGTTTACCCATTAAGCGAAGGTTAAGGCGTTAAGCAACTTAAGCATTTCCCAATTCCCATAAAATAATAAAAAAATAAATAAGAAAAGAAAAAAGTGCAAAAAAAAAAAAAAAGAGAAAAGAAAAGGACAACTGGAGGCAAACGGTCTAATTTCTTTTGTCAAACGTGGGTTCAGTTGAATCAGTTCTATATTTCTTTTCTCAGCGGCTCAGCGCCTTCGGCTCTCTTTAGTCTCACCATCTATTTGATTTTGTTCGAAGAGGGAGAGAGTTTCTTCTCCCTCTCTCGGTCTTTCCTACCAGTTTCCAACCACGACTTTTCTTGACGAGTTTGCGTGTCTTCCCTCTTCGATTTCCATTTCAAAGCTCTCTGTTTGATAAGCTAAGCTGTTGTTCCTCCTTGATTCATCCAAGACTCCCCTTTGTTCATATTCAGGTAATTTTTTTAGTTGATTTGATAGTAGTCTCCCTACGCTTCTTGATTTCTTTTCCTGTTTGAGGGTTTCGATTTTTATGCTTATATTCTTCTTTTTAGATTGAGTATATGTTAATTTCTTGTGCTTTTCATGTATAGTACCTTTCTACCCTTTTCAGGGTTTTTCTTGCCAGAGAAAAGCTTTATTCTTTGATTTTGTATTTTGATTTCCTCTGCCACTGGTTTCAGTTTTGAACTCCCTCGTTTTGGAAATTTCAGGTGCTTCAAAGCTTAAACCAAAATAGAAAGGAAATTTCTCTTAATTCCGCCTATTGTTAGTTCTGGCCTTGATTCTTGTTAATTCTTTTATGTTTGTCAAACAGATTCCGCATCTTATCCTTGTACTTGATCCATTTATAGTTATCTTATTTATTTATTTTCCCTTCATTTTCTACATAATTCGATTTTTTAACTACTTAGATCATCTTGTTGTTCTTGTTTTGTGCATCGTATCCAGTATCCACCTAGATGTATTGTTCAATCATGCAACTAAGTTTGTGCTATTGAGTCACTTATAGCATCAATCATATCATGCGTTCATCTTGATTTTGTTTCCAGGTACTATTGTTGAATTTCTAGACGAATTCCATCTTTCATCAAGTCCCCGGCTGTGCTTTGTAGTCCTTCCTAGCTTGGAAAATGTTTGGATTTAGGAAAACACCCCCATCCGCGAATAAGGTTGCTAAGCATAGTTCCAATCCTTTCGATTCAGACTCTGAGACTGACGCCAAGCATACCCTTAAACCTTCAAGAAGAATCTCTTCTGAACCTTCTCTCGTGACTCCAAATTTCAATTCCAACCCTTTTGATGATGATGATGATGATGGAAGAGGTGCCTCCTCATCTTCGTATTCTGCCACTTCAGCAGCAAGAAACAAATACAAGAATGATTTCCGTGACTCAGGAGGATTAGAGAACCAGAGTGTGCAAGAACTAGAGCATTATGCTGCTTACAAGGCTGAGGAGACTACTAAGACAGTCAGCAATTGCCTCAAAATTGCCGAAGATATTAGAGATGATGCTACAAAAACTCTGGTTACCTTGCATCAGCAGGGTGAGCAAATCACAAGGACCCACATGCTTGCTGTAGATATTGATCAGGATCTCAGCCGGGTATGCAACTTATTCAAGTCTTCTTTATCTTTTGTAGGACAGAAAATGGAATAAATAAGAAGGATGAACTTATGGAAAAACAAGTAAAACCTTATCTGTATAGAAGCAATTCTCCGAACCAATATACTCTATTGTGGTTATACTAAAAGCTTTTATTTTCCTATATTAAATGCTTTTTGACCCTCATATTTAGGATTCCTAATGCAAGAAGTTTTTACTTTAATAAGATTGGACATCATCATCATCACCCAAGCCTTATCCCAACTATATGGGGTCGGCTACGTGAACCCTGTATCACCATTCCGTTTTGTTTAATGCCATATCAATTGTTAAACATACATTTATTTAATTTTTGGAAGAATTTGGTATTTTCCTTCATAATGATCATCCAAAATGCATAGCATGTGAGATCAGGCCCAAGGCCACTTTCAATCTCAATCAGAAAACAAAATACATGGAGCAATTTGGTTTTATATTTTACCTGTACCATTAGCTCATTATCCTTTTTTCCCCTGCTCCCTTTTTCTTTTCATTATACGAGAATGGACTCCATGCAGAGTAAGAGTATAATTACCTTTCTTTTAGGTGGGACGGGGGTAACATTTGTCCAAATGAGAGAGAGAGAGAGAGAGAATTGAGAATATGCTAATCTATGAAAAAAAATCTGATTCGAAATCTTGCCTTTTCCATCAATAATTTTACTTGGCATTGATGTGAAATACAACCAATAGTGAACTCAAACTTTGGCCTTGTGAACAAGGCCTTGCACTTTTGATGCTTTGGCATCACTGACTTGCGCATTATATTAATATTTTAGCACACGTATAGAGGGAAATCTTAGGCATTGCTGACTTGTGCTTTCAGTTATAATGATGAATAGGTTTTCTTCTTGATTTCAGGGTGAGAAACTTCTCGGAAGTCTTGGAGGCATCTTCTCTAAAACTTGGAAGCCAAAAAAGACTCGTGAAATTGCAGGGCCAGTAGTAATAAAAGGTAAATATCATACAGACTCTTGATTGAGGGTTGGCCTTGGCTCAACAGTTGGGTTGTTCCATTGCAACTTAGGTGACCAGCAGGAGTAAGTTGGTCTGCTCTTTTTTATCATACTCTGCATTGGCAGGAGCGTTGTGAACTGGGCTGCTTTTTTTTATCATACAGGCTCTTGACTGTTGGTCCATATTAGTCATTCGTGTTCCTATTGGTTTATTTGTTGGGTTGTTTTGCAGATGATCCATCAAAGAAGAGGGGCAGCCACTTGGAGCAATTGGGAAAGTTGGGTTTGACACCTCCATCCAGGGGGAAGCCAAACTCTCGATCACCTCCTCCTGAACCCACAACTGCATTACAGAAAGTTGAGGTCTGTGTTGTGATGTGATTATTTGAATGAAAAAAAAAAAGATTTGCAGAATTATTTACTTGTCTGTTTGGGTTTTTCTGGGAACAGGTTGAGAAGGAAAAGCAAGATGATGCACTTTCAGATTTAAGTAACATTTTGGGTGAGCTGAAGGAAATGGCTGTTGACATGGGGTCTGAGATCGAAAGGTAAATTTTGTTGCTTTTATTATGATATCCATTATGGGCTTTGTCAAAACAGGGGTATTGTTGTGCTGTATCATGGTGCTAGCAATATGCGAGAACCAGATAAGCCAAAGCCATTGATAAATAAGAGTAGCATAAATCTCCAACAAAATCAGATACAAATTTTAGTTTGCTAGCAACTTGTTCTGACTATCTTGGTTCATTCAGAAGAACCATTTTTAGTACAGATCTTGTAAACTCTTTTCTTCCTAATTATAGAGTGGCTTAGCTGCACTTTTGGGTCAATGAAGAGTTTTATAATTATAATATGTCAATTTGAGTTTTCATAGGGTTTTTTTCTATAATCATCTTGTCTCATTTGTTTTACATGTTCATCTTTACAGGCAAAGTAAAGCTTTAGACTATGTTCATGATGATGTCGACGAACTAAATTCCCGGGTCAGAGGTGCAAATCAACGTGGGCGTCGTTTGCTTGGGAAATAGGCTCTCCAGGCTGCTGTCCCACCGGCACATTTACTTAACTCCCCCTTTCACCTTCCTCAGCTTAAAAGGGACACTTAGTTTTTTTTTTTTTTCTTCACACATCCTCATCTTATTCCTTGTTTCCCTCTTTTGTTTCTTTTTCCTATAAAGCCTTCTTGGCATACACTATACAGGCAGATATATGCTATAAAATTTGTTTTCTGCATTTGTTGTTTCTTATAGCTGCGTAAATTACACTTCTTACGTTTTTGGATTTCTCTACCCCTATTCTTCAAGTAGTGATTGATCATTCCCGTTTTTAATAAATGGTGCAAACGGCATATTTTACCCCCTCAAAATATTAATTCAAAAGTACCCATAATGGAATGGAAGTTCACAATAACCATTTAAGACTGCTTGCTGACTCAGTTGCCAAATTACTTATTGTGTTTTTTAAGCACTTATTGGAGTGGGATGTTTGGTGAGCTACTATCTCTATTAAGTGTTCATATTAACATAAATGACAATTTTAGTTCTCATTTCACTCATAGATATAAACAATGATTTTCACATATTATACTATACATTTCAATGAAAAATCACTTCACCACCATGTGTCTCAATAGGAACCTACATGGACCCACACATTGAGTGCCACGTGGACCCAAATAATAATAATAATAATTTTAATACATATTCACTATGACTGTGATTACAATGAAGGTACCAAATTGGAATCACATAAACACCCATGGCGACACGTAGGCAAACGCGGATCTGCGATGATCCCATAACTCGTCATGGACCCGCGATGAGCTCAAGAACATTACGGACTTGTGATTAGGGGTGGCCACGAGCCAAGTTTCTCACAAGCTATTCGAGCTCGGCTTGGCTTGGTTTAAACCGAGCTTTGAGTCAAGCTCAAGTTTGATACATAGGCTCATTTGCTAATCGAGCCAAGCTCGAGCCCAGTGAAACTCGATTTGTGAGGCTTACAAGCCTAATATAATAAATAAATAATTTTTTATTATATGCATGCATGCATACATAAACATATAAATATATAAATAAATATATATATAATAAATCATTTTTATTATATACATAATAATATTTTTTATATAATGTTTTTATTTTATGTAGGGAAAATTCCACCCTGTACTTTATGTCGAGTGCCAATTTAGTACCTGAACTTTAAAATGCGACAATCTAGTACCCAAACTTTCATTTTGCGACAATCTAATACCCAGCGTTAATTCACCGTTAAGTGTCATGGGAAAAGACATAAATGCCCCTTAAATTTCATCTAATTTTCTTTATCAAATGAATCCCAAAACTTTGTGCTTTCAAAATGAGCAATCAACGTACGCAACGATATCAAAATCGACGGACGGCTATAAGACTGCCTTTCACTGTATGCAAAGCTTGGTGGTTTTTCCTGCGGCCAGAAATGGATCAGGTGATCAACTGCGCACTGGTTTTAAAGAACCCCATCGATGTTAACTACTTGAAAGAACAAGTCAAGAGCTCCATCATGATACAAGACCCAAGATTTTGCAGTTTGTTGGTGAGGGACAACCAGGGGAGGGAGCACTGGAGAAGAACAGAGGTGGAGATTGACAGGCACGTACTTGTTCCGGAACTCGGTGGCAAATTCTACGCTGGGGGTCTTCCTGAAGACGATGAGGAGATGGTGAACAGTTCCAGTCAATACGTCAAGGCTCCCCATCTTGATCATGGCGTTCCCAAAATCGGAAAAGAAAGCTGCAGAGTTGGTGTTGTAAGCTCTAACTTAAGCGTCAGTGGAGCCACCACTGAAGAGCTCTTGGTCTGAGTGCAGCAGACCCTTGTTGTTCAACAAGTTGGTGAAATAAGCATTATCGAACGTTCTATCAGTTGTGTTGTCAAGATTGTGGAAGAAGTCAGCACCTTCCTTATTACAGGTGGATTTTAGGAATCCATGAAATGTGGAGTCTATAATGGCGTCGTTGTCGATACGACTTCTTAAGGTGGAGCACTTGGCTAGACCAACTGAATGAGCTCCTTCAAAAACAAAAAGAAGACAAAAGTTAAGCAGATCAATAAACATGTAGTTAGAAACAGCGCCATTAATTCTGGTTCTGGAGCTCTAGCTACCTGATAGAGCAACGAACTCAGTTTCAGTAAACCCCTTGTCTGTAAAGTTTTTTATGAGGGTACTGAGATCCGAGTCAAAAAAACGGGAGGCCACCAATGTCAGCCAGAGCAAAATTTGCAGTTGTTGAATCTCTTCTCCCTAACTGCATTGTCCATGAAGTGCCACCCAACTGGGATAATTATATTGCAAAGAAAACAGTGTCAAAATCTATACTAAAGAAAACCGCCAAACATTGCTATAAATTAAAAGATATTCGAATAATTTCCATGGTGAAATGAAACTTTAATTGCAGCTTTTGCTTACAGTAATGACGGCGTCGGGAGCAGCTACTGCTAGAATGTCTGCACAAGAAACATCTCCGCGGCACTCAGTAGTTTCCAGTTTAATTTTAATGGCGTCGATCACTTCAAATCCTCTCATGGAGTTATTGTTGGGAACAGCGGTCTTCTCCCCTTGGAAGCCGGTAGTGGAATTGTCATCCAAAAGAAGAGATGCATCACAGCCCTGTTCAATACATAGAGTATTGTTTTATTTTCTTGAGAAAGAAGTTTTAAGGGTAATTTTGGCATTTTCAAAAGTCTTAAATTGTACGTGATATACATAACTAACGGTCCATTAAGGGTAGGTACTAGATTGCCACAAAATGAAAGTTCAGATACTAGATTGTCACGTTTTAAAGTTCGGGTACTAAATTGGCACTCGGCCTAAAGTATAGGGTACCTATTGAGAATTTTCCATTTTATGTATAATAATAAATATTTTTATAATTCTTATTTTTTGTATGTAAAATAAAAACTTTTTATATGTATATTTTTTATTTTTTATACGTATAATAATAAGAAATTTTTATAATTCTTATTTTCTTGTATGTAAAAAAAATTATATGTATAATTTTTATTTTTTAGAAAAAACTTGGCTTATAGTCAAGCTCAAGCCGAGCCGAGCTCGAACTTGTGGGCTTTGAACTGAGTTGAGCTCGAGCTCGAGCCTAAGACTATTTCAGCGATCCTAGCTCGAATAGCCAAGTATTCGGCTCGGCTCGGCTCAAAACCACCCATACCTATGATACACTTAAGAATTGTTGTGTGTCTACAACAAGCCAAAACTATTCGTGATGAAACAACTAGCTGATGATAGAACAAGTAGGCCAACACGTTAGATTAGCTCTGACATCACCCACGCCATATTAACAGAGGAGACCCGCAAAAGGAACTAGCACACGTGCACTAAGAGAATCCTTGGACGAAAGTAAACTTCGTCCTAGAAAGGTCTTGTATGACATGTTGCAAACCCCCAGCAACGCCCTCCTGATAACCAATATCAAATTGAAGATCCCCGTTCCAAATAAGAGTCAAATACCTTTTGGCTCTTTCTCTCAAAGGCCTCGGGATCTCCCCTTATCAAAATGAGCATAGACAACAACAACAACAACAACAACAACAACAACAATAATAATAATAATAATAATAATAATAATAATAATAATAATAATAAGAAATAATAAATAATATTGATAAATAATAATAACAAAAATATAATAATAATAAATAACAATAATAATAGTAATAATAAAAAACAACAAATACTGAATAGTACTTCCAAAAAGTATTTTCAAGGAGTAGTTTACATAAAATGCTTCCAGAAAGTACTTTTAAGGAGTTGTTTTCATAAAATACTTCCAAGAAGTACTATCAAGGAGCAATTTTCACAAAATACTTCTAGAAAGTACTTTCAATGAGCATTTTTCACAAAATACTTCCAAAAAGTACTTTCAATGAGCAACTTTCACAAAATACTTCCAAAAAGTACTTTTAAGGAGAATTTAACATCACCAATATGCAATGAGAACTTAAATAATAAAATAGGACAAAATTTATTATACATATTAATAATAAAACAATAAATGAAAATTTTGATTATTCAAAAGAAAATACAAAAAAAAATCCCCAATATGCAATGATGAGTTGAAAAATAAAATACGATAAAATTTATTATAGATATTAATAATAAATCAATAAATGAAAATTCGGGTTATTCAAAAAAGTTAAAAAAGCATCACCATTAAATTTAACAAATAAAAATACAATGAGAATTTAACAAATATTCATATAAAAATTCATGAAAAAATGTAATCACAAATCAAGAAAACATGTAAATATTTAATTAATTATTAATCACAACAAAATATAAAAAACATCACAAATATTCATATAAAAATAAAAATGCAATCACAAATCAAGAAAATGCAAAAATTTAACTAATTATTAATCACAACAAAATATAAAAAAAACATCACAGATATTCATATAAAAACCAAGATAAAATGCAATCACAAATCAAAAAAATGCAAACATTTAACTAATTATTCATGCAAAAATTCAAGAAAAAATTTAGTAACCACATTTCAACGTATTAATTTTTTGCATGATCTTTAACAAAAAATGCCCAAAAAATCCTACTTATCCATAGGAATCATCACACGAACAATGCACAAAAAACCCAACATAAATATTTGGGATTTCTCATCTATGAAAATTTGATAAAATCGATTCAACCAATATTCATAACAAACAACATCAAACATGGAGGGGGTTTGTTTGGGCAAATTAACTTTGTTCGTTGGTGTCTGTACGATGGGTCATCATCGTTAAACTCGCCCAAAACATATCTGAGAACACAAAAAGAGGAGTTTCAAGCATTAAAAAAAATTCTAGAAAACTATTTCAAATAAAAGAAATGCATAAAACGATGGACAATAGCAAAATGACCTAATCGCCAATCGTTTTCTTTGCACCGTCGGTCGTTGCTGGTCACCAAGGTGTTTCGTGTGCTGCCCCTGCGTCTCTTGTGTTTGAATGGAAGAAAGAGGGAAAAAAACCCTCACCGGGGTTTCTTATTTGAATAATATTTTTTTATTTATAATATTTAGTTATTGAAAATTTTAAATAATATTTTTTATTATTTGAATAATATTTAAATTGAATAAATCATAAAATTATAATTTATATAGTATAAAATTTCGTTATGAATTTCATAAAAGTATAAAATTATTAATAATATAAATATTATTAAATCATGATATTTTTGTGTATTTGATAAATATTTTAAAGTTATTACATAAATTTATTATAAAATTTAAATAATTCTTAAATTTTTAATTCAAACTTTATTTTGATTGATATAGATGAAAAGTGGGGGAGAGGATAAATAAGAATTATAGATAATTTAGGAGAAAGTGGGGGATAGTGGTGCCACTTGGCTAGATTAGATTAGATTTTGGTAGAGAGAGATTTTAGGAATAGTTTTAGGAAAGAGGGGTGAGATAGGCATGATGTGTTATTATGAAAGAGGGAGAAGGGAGTGATGAGATGGTTTCATGAGGGAGCAAGAAAGGCTAAAATGAGAGGGGTTAAGAGTTCTCTGTTGGGGTAATGGAGAAAGCTCATGCAATGTCGTGGCATCATTCTACTTTATTATATATATTAATCAAAACTCGTGTGATGTATGAGTTTTTTTTTTTAATCGAATTGCAAATTAGAAGTAATGGGATTTTAAAGAGCCCTAGATACTTATAAACACCTTACCACAAAACTTCATCACAAACATCCCCATTTAACCCTTCATCACACTACGATTTTAATTTGGGCTATCTCATTAACCAAGATATTCATTTCTTAAATGCCCTTGACCATACCATTTATGGACCAATCAAACCCCACCAAATGATCCAAGAAAACAATACCTCTAGAAACCTCATTGTCAGCACCTAGTTTTTACTCAATTTGCTGTTGAAACTCCAATTTACCTCGAACACCTGATTAGACTGTTTCGATCCTTCCATAGTACCTAAAAATCCCCAAACACCATCATCAGACTTTTGACCTCCTAAAAATCCCCTCCATTTATTCTTTAATCAAACCAAGATTCCCTTTCGAACCTTTTCGTTATCCTAAAGCACCCACAACCCAAATCTCCATGATCCTAACATCTTTGAATTAATTAGACCATACAATTGAACCCTAGACACACCAAAAACATTTACCCATAAATTTTCAACCTAAAATTCACCCATTTGCCATATCACCGAACAAATATTCCATTTTAGATGCTTTCATTGACCCAAATTTTCATGATTGTGGCCCTCCAAAATCAATCAAATGTTTTTGTTGTACAAGAGAAAAGGAGAGAGAAGAGGAGAGACGAGAGGACTGAGAGCCCAAAAGAATACTACAGGCTTGCAGTATGTTATTATTTATACTAGGGCAACCGTACAACTTAAAATAAGAAAGAAATTATAAAAGTACCCCTGCGGTACCATACATATATAAAATAATATCTGTTAACACTCCCCCTCAAGTTGGAGCATAGATATCAATCATGCCCAACTTGTCACAAAGATCATGATGTCTTGAGTGGTGTAGTCCTTYTGTAAAGATGYMTGCAAGTTGGTTCTCAGAGCTGACATAGGGAGTACACACTTCGCCTATGATGACTTTCTCTCTAATAAAATGCTTGTCGACTTCGATGTGTTTTGTTCTATCATGTAGATTAGCAGTAATGTTTATGGCTGCTTTGTTATCACAGAATAGGGTCATAGGCTTGTCCACTGGGAAACCCAACTCACCCAACAAATTCTTTATCCACATACTTTCAGCCACTCTGTGAGCCATTGCACGATATTTAGCTTCAGCACTGGATCTAGCCACCACACTTTGCTTTTTACTTCTCCAAGTAACAAGGTTTCCTCCTATAAAGGTGCAGTAGCCACTATTAGACTTTTTGTCATTTTGAGATCTAGCCCAATCTACATTAGTATACACTTCAACTTTCAAATGCCCGTGTCTTTGAAATAACAAGCCAGCACCAGGAAACCTTTTAAGATATCGGAGGATTCTTTCTGCTGCTTCAAGATGAGTGGACCTAGGTTCGCATGGGATATACCCAAGTATATCTAGAATAATCATCAATGAGGGTAATAAAATACTTGTAACCACTCTCAGATGGTAAAGTAACAGGGCCCCACACATCAGAATGAACAATGTGAAATGGAAATTTAGATTTACTATTTTTTGAAGAAAATGAGTTCTACAATGTTTACTCAATAGACACGTTTGACAAGAGAAATCAGAAACGGACACTGACTTAAATAGTTTTGGAAACACAACTTTTAGACTCAAAAGACAAATGACCAAGGCGACAATGCCATAAATAAACTTGACTCTTACAGGACTGACTCATAGACTCTGTAACATGAAAACCATACTTATTCTCCAGCATGTAAAGTCCATCAACCATACGTCCTCCCTAGACCTGTTCATGGGTCGGGCGGCCCGACGGGCCGGCCCGGCCCCCGGACGGGCTTGAACAAGTATATGGGCCCGCGGGCTTAACCTCGGGCCAAATAGCCTGGCCCGCAATAAATTCGAGCTTAACCTCGGGATTTGCCAAAATAGCCCGGCCCGAGTTCGGCCCGGCCCGACCCATAGTTAAAACTTAAAACTATGTAAAAACCCTATTCGAGACCTCTTTGGTCTTTGCCTCCTCCCATTCTTTTTTCCAACCGAGCCCTTCATCTCCAATCTCCACATCCAACACAGCCGAACCCTTCATCCTCACACTCTTAGGCAGCCACAACCGGCGAGGCGGCGAACGTTCACCGGCGCAACAACTCCGGTGGCGGTAGTGAGCTCTCTCTCTCTCTCTCTTTCTTTCTCAGACACAAACTGATCAAGTGAACATTGTCAAAATCGCAGGTCAGGCTCGCAGCTCACAGACCACAGTCACCGACTCACCGTGAACTCTCCGGCGAATACAATCACCGGCGGCGATGAGTCCTCTTTACCATTTTATTAGTACCATATATTCTGCAAATTCTGTTTGTAGTACCACAGACAATATTATCTTCCATTCCTCTTGCGTCCTCGCAAGTCTTGTTTTGAATTGCCCAATCCGGTATTATTGGAGTTTGGATGCCAACATTTTCGAGATATTTCATTTCGCTTCTCATGCTCCAAAGGCGTGAAACTTGTGAGGCCATCAAATCCTTGTCACACAGAAAGGCATACCCACATCTGCAGATATTCCATGTGTAGGAGAAGTTGTAAACGCTTCCTGTGTATATATGAAAATCAGTGATGCCCTTGGGTATGGTGGTCTGGYAGCATCCAAGGCCATCGTCGCATGATAACCCCGTCACTTTCGTATCATTCAGGCAACCTGATCTGCAACCCATGTAGAATGCCTCGCCATTATAGTCATACAAAGTTCCAGAGGTGTCGCAACTGACAGTAATGAATCTGTTTCTGGTGTCCGCTTCTAGAAGTTCCCAGTTAGGGCTATTCACTAGTATCACTACCAGGTCATTGCCCTCACCCACATAACATTCGGAAGCCGCCCACATGGTGGTCGCCACTTGCCCATGCAGAGATATGTTAAAAATTGGTGTATCATCGGAATCGGAGTACATCATCARYTGGGGATCACCATTAGTGGTGTTGTAGAATAACTGAAAATCTTCATTCAGGAAACACTTGGGACTTAGTACCATATATTATGTTTAGACCTGTTCATACTTCATACRCTTATCAGAAAACCATATTGATTTTAAACACCACCGTATTGTTTAAAATCTGTTAGAGATAATATATTCTGTTATAACTGTTGGAGATTTATGTATTATAACTGTTGGAGATAATATATTCTGTTAGTACCAGTTACGAACATTGAGAAAATGCATATTCTGTTTTTCCCTTATTTCTTTTTGGTTTTCCCGTTGAAACTACGTCAGAAATTCAGAATACTGATCGACTGTGAACAGCACCCGCCATCTATTCTCAAGTAGTTGTTGGTTGATTAGGAAATGATAATGGAGGTTCATGGCAGTATAGACATGCAATGAGAAACA